AGCCCGATGCGGGGCTCGATCCCAGGACCCCGGGACCATGACCCGAGCCGAAGGCAGACGCTTAACGGCTGAGCCACCCAGGCGCCCCTTAAAGGACATTTTTGAAGCAGAATGAAAATGATGCTATTTGGAAACCTGGATCTACACAAAGGAATAAGGAGCCTTAGGAAATAGTAACTACATGATTAAATATATAAGATTCTTTTTCTTATTATTTAAATCTCTTTTTAAAACAATTAATTGTTTAAATAAAAATAATAACAGTGTGTTGTGGGACTTATGACATATGAATAAGTAAAATGTATGATAACAGTAGCCAAAAGGTCTGGATGGGGAAAATGGAAGTATACTATGGTAAGGTTCATATACAATACATGAAATGGTATAATATAACTTGAAGGTAAGTTGTGATGTTAAAGATATAAACTCTAAACCAGTGGTTCTCAGGGGTGATTTTGGCCCCTGGAGGACATTCAACAATGCCTGGAGACATGTTTGGTTTCCAAAACTGATATTTATTGGATAGAGGCCAGGGATGCCGCAAAATGCATAGGACAGTCCCCAAAACAATTACCTGGCCCCAAATGTCAACAATGCTGAGAAAAACCTGCTATAAACCATAAAGCAACCATTGAAATAGAACCTTTCTTGCAGAAATTAATAAGCGGATCCAAAATTTTAAATAGACGTTAAAAGGATGCAGAAAATCCAAAAAAGGTCTTTAAAAAGAACAAAGTTGGAAGATTCATACTTCCCAATCACAACTTGCTACAAAGCTATAGTAATTAAAAGAGTGTGGTAACTCAAGGGGCGCCTGGGTGGCTCAGTCAGTTAAGCGTCTGCCTTCAGCTCAGGTCATGATCCCAGGGTCCTGGGATTGAGCCCTGTGTCTCCCCACTCAGCGGGGAGCCTGCTTCTCCATCTCCCTCTCCTGCTCCCCTTGCTTGTGCTCTCTTGCTCTCCCTGTCAAATAAATAAATAAAATCTTAAAAAAAAAGAGTGTGGTAACTCAAAATGGTCATAGATCTAAATGTACCAGCAGAAGCTCAAACACCTAGAAGAAAACATAGGAGTAAACTTCATGACCTTGAGTTAGGAAAGAGTTTCTTAGATATGAGACCAAAAGCACAAGTAACCAAAGAAAAAATATATAAATTGGACTTCACCCAAATTAAAAACTTTTTTACTTCAAAGGATTCTATCAAGAACTTGAAAAGACAACCCATAAAATGGGAGAAAATTTATGTAAATCTTATACTTGATAAGGGTCTAATATCCAGACCATAAATAGCTCTAACAAAAATAGTAAAAAGACAACCGAACTAAAAATGAGCACAGAATCTGAATAGATATCTCTCCAAAGAAAATATGCAAATGGTCAATGAGCACATTGAAAAAAATGCTCAACATCATCAGTCATCAGGGAAATGCAAAATGCAAATCAAAACCACAATGAGATGCCACTGCACACCCTGTGGGATGACTATAATTTAAAAAATGGACAGTAACAAGTGTAGGCAAGGATATAGAGAAATTGGAACTCTCATATATTGCTGGTGGGACTGTAAAATGGTGCAGCTGCTTTGGAAAACAGCCTGGCAGTTCCTCTAAAAGTTAAACAAGAAGTTGCCATATGACCCAGAAATTTCTCTCCCTCTGTCTATAGATGGATAGATAGGTGGATAGACAGATAGTTGGATGGATGGATGGATGGATAGATAGATAGATAGATAGATAGATAGATAGATAGATAGATAGATAGATAGATAGATATTCTCACTCCCATTAGCAATCACTCTATTCCACCCCCCTCCAACCCCTTCCTGACAACCATTGATCTGTTTTGTGTCTTTATGGATTTGCCTATTCTGGACATGTCATATAAATGGGATCATATATGTGGCCTTCTGTTTCTGGTTTCTTTCACTTAGCATAATGTTTTGAGGTTCATCCATGCTATAGCATGGATCTGTATTTCATAGCTTTTATAGCTGAATAATATTCCATTATATGGATATGCCACACTTTGTTTATTCATTCATCAGTTGATGGACATGGGTTATCTCCACTTTTTGGTTATTATGAATAATGCTGCTATGAACATTCAAGTACATGCTTTTGGGTGGAGTTATGTTTTCAATGATCTTTGGTGTATATCTAGGAGTGGCATTTCTGGGTCATATGGTAAACCCTAGGTTTAACCTTTTGAAGAACTGCCACACTGTTTTTCCAAAGTGGCTTCACCATTTTACATTTTCTCCAGCAGTTTGTGAGGGTTCTAATTTCTCCACATCCTCAACAACACTTGTTATTGTCTTTTCTCTTAATAGCCATTGTAGTGGATGTGAAGTGGTATCTCATTGTGGTTTTGATTTGATTTGCACTTCCCTAATGACTAAGAATGTTTACCATCGTTTCATACGCTTATTAGTCATTTGTATATCTCTTTTGGAGAGATATCTATTTAGACTCCTTGCACATTTTTGTATTTAAGAAACCATTGTTTAATCCAAGGTCACAAAGATTTATGTCTATATTTCTTCTAAGACTTTCATAATTTTAGCTCTTACATTTAGATCTTTGGTCCATTCAGGGTTAATTTTTGTATATGGTATGAGGTAAGGGTCCAAATTAACATTTTTGCATGTGGATTGTCCCAGCACCATTTGTTGAAGAGACTATTCTTTGACTATTGAACGGATGTAGCACTGTTTTCAAAAATCAACTGGCCACAGATGTATGGGTTTATTTTTGGACTCTCAGTTCTATATGTCTATCCTTATGACAGTACCACACTGTTTTAATTACTGTAGCATTGTAGTAAGTTTTGAAATTGGGATGTATGAGTCTTCCAGATTTGTTCTTCTTTTTCAAAATTATTTTGACTTTTCCTGGGTCCCTTATAGTTCCAAATGAATTTTTGGATAACCATATCAATGTCTGGGGGAAAAAAGGAAGTTGGATTTTGAAAGGATTGTACTGAATATGTAGATCAATTTGGAAAGTATTGCCATTTTAGCAATATTAATCTTCTAATCCATGAACATAGTTCTTTCCATTTATTTAGCTCTTTTATTTCAACAATGCTATGCAGTTTTCAGTGCACAAGTCTTGCATTTCTTTTGTTACTGTTTTCCTAAGTATTTTATTTTTTATGCAATTGTAATGGAATTGTTTTGTTAATTTCTCTTTTTTAAATTGTTCTCTGCTAGTGTATAGAAAGACAACCGATTTTTGTATACTGATCTTTTATCTTGCACTGTTGGTGAACTTTTTTATTAGCTGTGATAGTCTTTTAGTAGCTCCTTAGGATTTTCTATACACAAGATGATAACATCAGCTGGAGGATTGGAGAGGGAAAGGATGTCACCTTTATCCTGATTCTCATTTATGAACATGTTTGTCCTTAATGGAAGACAAATACTTTTCTGACTCAAGTTAGCTGTATTATGAAGGTTGTATCATTCTGTTCTGGAAAGAAAATGTTTTATGCAAGCCAGACATTTAATGCAGAGTTGAATTATAGAATGTTTTTTGGTAAAGATAAAGCAGAATAAATCAAGGTGGCTTCTTTCTCTCTTCATCCTCCCTTTCTTTCAAGTGAAAGATGTCAACAAAATGGTAGGGTAGAGTGAAAGGACTGTTCTTTGGAGATCTTAATGTTAAAATTTTGAAAAGATTTTAGTTTCAGAAGTTCAGATACAACCATAAATAGGTGTAGGATTACCTCCCTACAAGATCACCTTGGGCTAGCTTAGTCCTTCAACAAGGTCACCACTCCTCTCAAGGCAGTCAATTGTACATGATTCAGTCCTTCTGGGTTGTGGGAATCACTTCCTATGCCTGTCCCTTGGGACCTAGGAAGGTAAGAGTTTAGCTTATACTAGCCTGGGTTATTGTGCTATTCTCTGTGGTTCCCTGCATCTACACATTTATAAGTAATCTCTTTGGAAATACCCCCCTTCCAATTATTCCATTTTGTCAAGTGTGCTGTTTAATGTTGGAACCCTGATTGATGTTATGGCCATACAGGAGCCTGCACAGAACTACATCCTGGAGACTAAGCTGCCAGACTGGGAGCCTATCATATCTTTCTTAAGCCTTTTAGATCTTCCTATAAGCGTTTCTCCCCTTCTAGCCTGTGACTAAATAACTTTGTGAAGTAAGCAGGGCTATTCAGCCTTTCAACTCCTTTTTCCTCGCCCTTTGCCTCCATCCATCCTGTCCTTCCTCCCCACCACCACACACATCCAAACCTCTGTTTTCTGCCTAGATAAAATCACAGTGTAAATCACACTTCTGCATGACTTGGTTAATTACTTTATCATGTTTGAGTATTTTAAGAGGAAATCAGTAAGGAAAATGACTAACGAAGAACCTAGATAGGGGAAATGTATTGGGATCACAGACTTCACCCCAATCAAACCATATAAGCCTAGTAGACCTTAGGCCAGGGCAGCTTCCAAAGAAAGAAGGGATTCCTACAGCAGCTTAGCCTCTGAGTCAAACAAGGGAGTGGAAATATTTCTGTCTTTAATTGCAGTTACCATTAGGGATTTGCTCTGGGAGACCATTTGTGGCCAGATGTGCCCTAAAGTCACTTAGCCAGGCTTTCATCAAGCAATTGCAGCTTCTCTTTGGATTTTGGTTCCTTCTCCCCACCTCAAAGTTTCTCTTGGTGTTCCTTTCCTACACAAACAAATGGAACAATTTATACCAGTACTTGATGAAGAAAGGAAGTTTGCTCTGACCAAGTAGTCTTCTGAGAAACCAGAGCATAGAGACTAAAAAGGAAAAATACTCAGAAATGAAACAACTTTTAGTTTCATCCTCCTGTGGTTAAACCCCAAGAGTCAAAAAAAAAAAAAAAAGGTGGGGGGAAGAAGAAGAAAAAAGTTTTAAACTAATAGGCTGTCACTTGTCAAGTTTTCCACCCACATGGCTACCCAGTATTCCTGTGGGAAAATCAGTGGTACCGTCTAGAAAGAGGAAACCATACACTCCTTTTTTTATTTCAATTTATTGTTGTCAACAATTCAATACAATAATAATGTTTTCTACATGAAGAGTCCCAGCAGATAGATGCCTAAGAAAAGTTAACTTTAGGATAGTGATTTCAGAGGGGTGAGAAATCATAAATCTAGCATGGACAAGACCACGAAGGCATTTGGAAGTAGTAATTCTCATTGACAATCAAGTAAAACCAAGTGCATTGCAACAGATGGTATACAAATCAAATCCCGGTATGAAACAGTATGGGGGAAGATTTAGATTAATCCACCAGAAGTTTATTGAACTGCTAGAATTCCATTTTAGTGAGTATATAATTTCCAGTTCGGTGTGATAAAGCTGTTTTTTCATGTCCCATCTGACAACCCAAACCATCCTAGTACTATTCAATACTGCTTGGAAACTGTGGATACAATAGATTCCACTGAATGAGAAATACTGTATGACAAAAGAGTCATAATTCCTTGTCTGTGTAATAGTCAACGTATTTAACAGGATAATGTATTATGTATAAAATATAGCACCAGTAGTTGAATTCCTGTGAAATGTTAACTATTCTAACTCAAATTTGACATATGTTTCAAAATGTTTGGGGTATCATCCATTGATTTTTAAAAAGATGGTTCTTCCTGGTAAGCAGCAGCTCAGAGTAGAAAGAGCACTGGACCTGGAGTCAGATGCAATGCAGGTTGTTTTCTCTAAACACTCTAGTATCCTTTCCAGATCTAATGTTCTATTATCTTTTACTACTGAATTTTGAGAGTTTGATTATTTGAGGTAATCTTGAAATGGTTTTAAAGTTACCGTCTTCAGGTATTTCGTTCTTGATTAGCTTTGGAAACGGAATTTGGTAAGGACAGGGGTTGGGAGGAGACAGTTTCATTGGGGTTTTTTTGTATTTTCCACAGATCTGCTGTCGAATATCTTCTATCACTTGTTAGCAGAGGTCGCCTTCCCTCTACTCTGTTGACAAGAGTTGGAAAGCCGGAAGGAGATTCCAAAGAGCAGCCGCAGTGCTTTGGGCCCCGAGCAAAAGAGAAAAACACTCTCCGAGAGACTAGACTGGTGTGGTGTGTTTACATAACTGGCTCGAGTTCCCCAGATTAAATAGCTTAGAATTTCTTAAGAAGGTTCACTTAAGCAAATGTTGCTTTTGTTCTCAGAGTTCCTTCTCCCCAACCCCACTTGTGTTGACGTCTCGACATCGGTGTCTGACCAGTAGGAATCACAAGCTTGAAATTGATCACATCTTGCTCTCCAATCTTGCTTCTCTCTTGGATTCCCAGCCTCGATCAACAATATCACCATCACGCTGGTTCTAGCCAAGTTCAAAACTTTGGAGCCATTCTTGACTCCTCCTTCTCCCTCATTGCCCAGTCTTGCCCTCTCCAACCCACCCTTCACACTGTAGCTGCCAAAGTGCTCTTTCTAAAGTGCAAATATGATCACAGAGCTTCCCTGCTTAAAATACTTTAATGACTCCTTTTCATCTCCTGGATTAAACTCAAAGTCCTCTTTCGGTACCTCTATACCTCTCTAGCCCAATCCCCTGCCACTCCCGGCCATTCCTCTGAGCCCCTTACACTCCAGTTACACGAACTGCTCCCAGTTACCCAAACACACTGTGCTCTTTCATGATTGTGACTTTGCATGTGAAATTTCCTCTGCTACTTTCTCAGTTCAAGTTAGTTACTTTTCCTCATGTTCCCATTTCCACATACTAGTTGTATAAGTCGTCATGCTAGTTCATAGTTACTTCTTTGCTTGTTTGTCTTCACTACCAGACTGCCAGTTCCCTGTTTCGGGAGAAGATAAACATTATAGAGGAGATTCAGACTCTGGGTGCTTCTAGGTGGCACTGAAGCTTAACTTTGGACCCCGAGACACTATGCAATTCTCTAATGCTCACTTTTTCTCCTTGTCCCAGCCCTCCCCCTGGTGGAGGTGTTAAGAAGCAGTGGAATGGTCGCGTGGCCAAAGATAAGACAAAGCAGCCTGGCTGATCCACAACCTGGATAAACATCTGCCCCACGTTTTCTAGGCAAATGAAACACTGGCAATGGGCCTTGGATTTTGGGTGGCCTGGCGGGAGCTTTCTGTCTTACTGTGTATCAGTTGGCAGACCGTGATTTCAATCCCTAGAGCTGTAGCTGGGGCTCAACATGCCCATCCCAGATGGTCTCGAAGAACATTATACTACTGTCAAGCATATAGCCCAAGAATAATTAGCTGGTGGAGATCTTCCTTGTTTTCTCCTTTGCCTGAAGCTGAGACAAACCCGTGTGTAGGCATGTTTGCCTTTGGATGATCACACCACAGAGCAAGGAATCAAATGCCAATCACATCCACATGGTAAGTATTCTCCCCAGTTGCTATGGACCCCACCTCCCCAAAAAAGTCATAGGAAAGGTGTTCATTTCTATTCCAGAACGATATCCAGTTAGCACTGCTTTCTGTCCCAGCTGAAGATAACCTAGTCTTCAAATCAGTATTATTTAGTTGCCCTTTTGAGGCAGCCAGTTCCTCAAGCACCCTTGGATATAGAGTTCTCTAGGTATGGTAGCCCTAGGTGTATTCTGAGTTGGTCTGATTGGTGATTCCCAGGGAAGGAACTTGTCAGGCAGGTTAAGAAAAAAAAAATTTTTTTTTTTTTTTAAAGGTTATCAGCCTGGTTGGGAGGAATCTCACCTCTAAAAACAACAAAATTTTACAAAACACGATGAATTTAAAATCATCATAGATATTCTCCTTCATGACTCTTGTGAATTTTATCAGATACTATGTTTACACTATGGTGAGACTTCTAGCAGCAAGAATGGGTTTTAGTTTTAAGTAGGGGGAAAGGAAATTAACATCATCTATTTGTCATCAGGAGAGACTACCTTTAAAAAATCAATCCCACAATGTCATTTCATACATATGTCAAAGGCAAGGAAAGATGATCTGCTGTCTTAGGTGTCCATCTGGCTGTGTCCTGAGCGAAGAAAAGGAATTCAGGTACTACCAGGGGGTACATGAAGTAAAACAGAAACAGAACTAGTGGGAGCGCCCCGCAAAGTTCTTAGGTTTCTATGTTCAGAGTAAAGATCACCCTACCCACAAAACGATCATTGATGACATCATTTATGATGCCCTTGCCCTTCAGCTGGCACTGGACGGGCACCGCTTGGTTCTTCACCACATCTGTAAAGTGCATTGCCACCAGCGGGGAGGTGTAGTTAACCTGTAGGCGGAAGAACATGAATCCTAAGTGCGAGGAGCGGAGGGCGTGGCGGTGGGTAACAGGATGCAAGGGAGCAGATATTCAGTGCAGGATGGGATAACCCTCACACAGGGAACTGAGCAAATCCCATGATGCCAAGTCACGAGTGGCTAAAGCAACTGACATGCTCTCTGCCCTGGGATGGTGGGGAAATGACACTCTTCTTGCATAAGTCACTGTCAGATGTCTGACCCTCCTCTGGGGAAAACCGGTTCTAACTCTGTGTGATAGGATATTCTGGCTATCAGACCACGAATGAAACCAGAACTAGTATCTTTCCAATGTCTCTGGGAAAGGTGAAGCCTCGCCCTATGACCCACCACAGCCGCCCCAAGGCTTCACCTGGGAGAAGCAGGCAGGTGTGATTATTTGGGTATCGTGGAGTGCAATGACAGTGATCTGTCTGCTCCTGGCTCTGCCACTAATTAGCTATATGTGTTGGGCAAGTCGCTTTCTCTCTCTGAACTCGAATTTCTCCATCTGTAATCTGAAGGAGTTAGACCAGACCAGAGCTGAAATACCTTCAGATACGGAAAGGAGTGGTTGTACTAGGAATTGGTAGAGGGAGCTCCTGGTCTTGGCCAGCCACTGTTCACCCCACTGTTACTACATGCTGCTCCCTAATTCTCAGAAATTCCGAACAGCCCTGCCTCTGTCTCTGAGCCCTTTCTGACAGCAAAGACTGAAAAGGATACAGGCTTACGTGAGTCAGTTTGCCATAGTAAGGGTAGTAGCGAAGGTCAAAAGAAGCCGACTCTGGGTAGTAATTGATGGATCGGATGTCATTTTCATCGCCTCTCTGGAAGTAAAAGCAGGTGTATGTGGGATGCCGGGTCCCCTGGTGGGTTGAAGCCTGAGCTCAAGGGGCCTGTGCCCCAGGTGAAATCACAATGTGACCCATAACCAACAGTCCCAGGAAGACCCATGAAAGCAGAATGGGGCATAGCTTACCTATCCCCAGAGTATTTCCAGGGAGAGACTGTGCCTCGGTTTTCAGTTGAAAGAATATTGAATGGAAGGCCTGGACTGAGGAGGCCGAATGTGCTCGATATAGTTCTGTACTGGCTCCTAGGGGACCCAGACAGAAGGGCTCCGGAAGGCTGGCAGTAGCTGGTGCTGCTCTAGCAAGAGGGCCTACCATGCCAGCCCCTCTCCAAAAAAAAAAAAATCTTCCTGGGCCTGGCACCCAGTCTTGGACGTTGAGGCAGGTAGATGTTAGAACATATTGAGTAAATCCCACGCCACGACAACTTGCACACCGTGGGCTCAGTTCTGTTGGAAGGTAGACCAGGTGCACAGGGATCTGCTGCCTAGGGACACAGCCTATAGTCTGGCCCCCCGAAACTCATGTGTCTGACCACCTTCTCCGTAGTGCTTAATTGCAGGAGGTGAACTCAGGAGGATAAGCAAGAGGGAACCAGCACTGCAAAGATGAAATAAATAAGTGTACCCTCATCATATCATGTCAGGTAGGGGACTGACCATTCTGCCTATGCATTGGCTTGCCCTATATAGCAGAGGTCTGGGGGCTAACAAGGGACAGACAGTGCTCACTACTAGCGGATCACTCACTGGGGTCATGGGATTGCTTCTGTCAATATAGTGTAATCGTTCAGAGTATACTCTTATTCTAGTGATGACCTTGTCCTGCTTGATTTCCACAAGTGGGTGTGGATTTTTACCAACTGATTATTATGGAATGTATGACGACTCTGACTATTTCTTGTGTTCTTTTTAAAGGACGGTTCTTAGCAAGGTTCTGTGTAAACGGAAAAACGAATGGCTTCCACTAGGGAACTATAAGCAGGGCTCAAGCCAATTAGTATGCTAGTTTAAGACTGAGTCGGTCTTTATGATTTACTTACATTTTCTTCTAGAAAGCAACGCAGTTCACGTCTGTGAACAGCCTGTGGAATCAGTGCCACTAGTTTGTCTTCACGTCTGGAGTGTGTGTATATTTACGCACACTCATGTCCGTGTGGACAGAATGGATGTCCTTCCTACCTTGTTCACGGGGCAAACCACGGCCTGACCTTTCAACCCTCATCTTCCGTGTCCCCGCTGCACCTTTCACAGCAGCTGTAATACGTGGTTGCCCCGATTTCAGAGACCGAGTCATAGCTATCTCAGCACCCCTAACATCTAGCAAAGTACCTGGCGTAGCCTAAGGGATCAATAAATGCTGCCTCTTTCTGCTTTCTGACCCACCACCCTCAAGGCTGGAGGTCTGAGGACAGTAGCGAGGCAGCCATCCAGGGCTGGGGGTGCAGTGCATGTTAGGAAACCGGAGGGAGCTACTGCTTCCGGTTTGAGAAGCAAACCCAAGATCTAGGGCTTCTTCCTACAAAGGAGCTAATTGGCGCAGATGAGATAGAAGGTAATGGTCCTTCGAAGGACAGTTAATTAGCATATTAATGGAGTTCTGTTTATACTTCCCTGGTAGTCCTTTGTTATTGTAACACGGAGTGCCACTGGTCATTGCTGCAAAAAGGGAAATTCTGGTTTAAAAGCAGGGACTAATGACTCTAATGAAAGCTGGTTGTTTAGTTCGAAGAAACAAGTAATTAGAGCTAAAAGCAAAAGTGTAAACAGAATCCCAGTTAATGACATGGCCCGTTGTCGGTCCCTGCTGTGGCCCTTAGCAGGTTCATTCTTTGGCGTTCACAGGTATAAACCAGCGAGGACACACACAGTCACACGACACACACAGACGTGAATTGAATGCTTTCTGGCAAGAGGGAGGCCAGAAGGTACTAGAGGGAGGCGTTGTTATGACAACTAACCTTTCCCTAACCCATAGCCCGGCATCCATGGTGAAACCCTTGGAAGGGATGAACCATCTTTTTACATAAAACAGATGGGCTAGCAATACTTACTCAAAAAGGCACTTTACCTGAACTTTGCAGGACACCTTCACAGGATCCCCAAGCTCAGGACGAAAGCCTACAATCTATCAAAAGAAAACCAGCATTGTTGTTGTTGAACATCAAAACACAAAACGGATTGGACAGTAAAAATGGGGCTTTTCTAAACCCCCCCTTAAGCCACCCCTTCCGTAGGCATAAACTTAACCTATTTCGCCCTCTCAGGAATGTTACAAAAAGCAAAAAATGCAAAAATATCTCCAGAGCTGTGCAGCTCAGCTTACTCCTTGTTGTATTTGTGCCTGATGTTTGTACAATGGTAACGGCAGCAAGAGAACCCTGAAGCTGTAAAGAACTTTCTGGTTTTAAGAGGGATGTGCCTGGTAGGGCTCTACCACACCTCAGTCATGGCAGGAGAGGAGGAAAATGTGTCTCTTGTGATAGAAGACTTGCCCCTCCCATCATGTCAGTCCCCTGTTCCAAACAGCTCAGGACCTCGTTACTGACAGAGGGCATCAGAGGGCAGGTTAGGGGCGGGAGAGGAGGGTGGAAATAGGAAGTATTCAGGGAGAAAAAGGGATTATTGCTTGACAGGTTTGCCCGGTTGTTCGAATTACTGATGCTGTCAGTAAGAGTGGCCAGACCTGCAGGGTGTGAAGACAGAGCCCAAGAGAAACGGAGGGGCCAGAGCCTTCCCACCCAGCTCCTCCACTTAGTATCACCAGAGTATCAAGGGCCAGTATACCCGGTTCATCTTTAGAAGGATGCACGGCTGTCCAGTAGAGTAGCCAAAAGTAGGGTCCTCCAAGCCCGAGCAGTTCTTCAGGAAGGAGCGCTTAAATTGGCAGGCCTTCTTGTCTTCATCCTCATCGCCATCTTGGATGAAGTACTGCCCCGGGGGACAATCTACATTCATCTCCTCTTGAAGACTGTCATTGTAACCTAAAGTGTGGGGGAGGGCAGCAGGGGGGAGGTGGGCCTGTTAGACAGGTGCTACAGGGGAGGGCCACGTTTTCAGTAGTCCTCCTCCCTAGTTTCCTTTCTGCAGCATTCTGGTGCTCCTCTGAGAGCCCACTCAGCCTGGCCTAGGCTCTGTGACCTGGCGTCGGTGTCCCAGGCCCCCCCATCAGCCTCTCTCCCGGAAGCCTTTCCGGCTCATCCCCTGGGCCCACTTCGATTGTTTCTCCTTCCCTCCAAACTTTGGAATAGCTATCTCTGGGTCATGTGTTGGTCACCGTATAACGTCCATTTTCCATTATTTTTTTTCAGCGATGGCAAACTGTAAACTGGGGAGGGCTGCCCCTTCTACTTCTGGAAGAGGAAGAGGCACATAGTAGATTCTGGAAGAGGGACTGAATCATGTCACGGCCTGGCTTATATAAGGAAGCAAACCTCTTGGGCTAAGTCTTTTTAAGTTCAGTCTAGGAAACATCTTCCTTGGAGGTCCATGAGAGACACCAGACACAAGAAAATGAGAAGTGTGTGTTGTGGGACAGGAGGGAGGAAGAGGAGAAAGAGGGAGGAAGAGGAGATAAACCAGCTTCTCATCCTTTACAGACCGAAGTTAGCACCACAAAAGAGAAGCTTAGGTTGAAAGACAGAAACCAACAGACAAGCTGTAGGGTCTCCCCCGAGAACGTGAGAGGGTGAGATCTTGTCTACTGAGAACCTAGGCACTCAGGGTTCATGTCCATTTACATCGGATGGAAAGGAGCATGTGTCCAAGGTATACATATCACGGAGAGAGAGCTGAAAAGGGGCTGTCTGTGAGCTCACTCTTTGGACTACCAGATGCCACTGAACTGGGCTTTGGAAATGACTGCATTATTTCCAATTTGGTTTTAAATGACGGAGTCCAGTTAGTCCTGTTAGGTCCAGCCCCCATGCACTCATGTTCCCAGTAGCTTAGTTTTTCAGAGGAGTCTGTGCACCTATGATCTACCGGGGGTAAAACTCCAGATGTACTGCTGGGTTGTCATCTAGACAGGTTGTGACTTGGGTTTAATATTATTAAGGAGCAACTGGGAATTTTTTTTTTTTAAAGATTTT